AATTCATTTCCCTAATCAGCGGGTGACGAAACAAGTAAATGCATCATGGGGAATACGAACAGGAATACTCTCGCCGATGGTGTCACTGATGATGGCAATAACAGAGACGACTTTGTCCTTCTCTGCCAAAGTTGGTGCAGTCAAGGGCTGGACCTTGCCATCGATGATACACACCGATTGGAGGGAAAACGACTGGTTGAGCCGTGCCACATCAAGGCTTTGACCGCTGAATCCCATGTGATCAAACAGGTCCTGGAGCTAGGTGGTAACAAACTGGCGAGTGGCTTCATCAGTCAACTCCAAGATAGCCTTGGAGACGGACTTGATCTCGTGGGCTTTGCCACGAACTAGAAGGTCAGCAGACATGGCTGGGGATGGTGCTGGAAGGAGTGTGGAAGTGTCGTCGGTGGGACAATTCAATGACTCAATGAACTGTCGGCAACAATGCTTTTGGGAGCGGCAACAACAGTCAGGAACTGGATAAAGGGAGGACCAACAGCAAAGCACCAGGCAAACAGAACTGGGGCTGGGGCTGGACAAAGCAAGGACTCACAACAACAGGAAAGCAACTGGAAGGGAGGCAACAACTGGGAGGCAGGCAACTGGAAGGGGAAGGCTTGGTTGGAAGCTTTCAGGATTGGGATTATGACCTCATAGTGTTGCACTGCAGAGCCTGGAATGGGAGGAACCAGGGCCACCACCACAGTAGCTCAGGCTTGTACTGTTGCTGTAGGATTGCACAGGGCTTGAACCCAACCCAAGAATCCAAAAGGCTACCAGCCAGGTAGCTTTTGAACTGGGGATCCATTGCAATGAGTCAACCTCAATCTCTGACACAGGTGCCTGGTCAGGTACCAGCCTGTCAGGATATCAATGCAAGGTGTGGTGTGGCTGTGTGGTGTGTGGTGTGGAACAGTGCAAGCAACTGGTCGTCACCACCACCTGGACCCAAGTCTCGTCGCGCAACAAGTCATAGGTGGTTGGAAGACTTAAGGGTTGGAGCAAAGACATAAGGGGCAGAGTCAAAGACTTAGAGGCCCCAGGTCCTTTTCAAGCATCGTCTTTGCGCAAGGACTTTTCATGCATCGACTTAAAATTTTCGAAAGCATGGATGAAAACACGTCACGTCGATGACGTCATCACCGAATGACGTCAGTCGGGATCTAAAAAGTGGGGGTGACGGTCGAAGACATAGGGACCACCAATCTTGCCAGGAGCACGAGACTTAGGCGGCAATCCGGGGAAGACTTAAGGCCGATCAGTCGGAGGCTTAAGGGCCAATCCGTTGTTGTTGATGAAATCGCGAAAATCGCAAAGATCGACCATGGCCCTGGAGTCGGGACGCATGGCAACAACGGCTGGTACCAACACCAGCACCAGTAGAGCACCAGTTGGTGAACTCCAAGGCGAAGCAACTCCAGGGCCAGGCGGCCGAGGAGGAGGAGACGAAGCACCAGTTGGTGTCGCTCAAGAGGTGGGGAGTCGAAGCACCAGTTGGTGTCGCTCAAAAGGGGAGTGAAGCACCAGTTGGTGTCGCTCAAGAGGGGAAACGAAGCCCCATTTGGTGTCGCTCAAGATGGGGCTAGCGAAACACCAGGCGGTGAACGCATCATGGCCGAGGAAAAGGATCGATCGGTCATCGGCCGAAAGGCACAACGACCGGTCATTCAACGAATAACAGAGCTCCTGCTATCAGACCAACGGCTGAGGGCAGTAGCAGTAGCCGTAGAAGCAGTAGTAGCAGTGGCGGTAACGACAGGCTAGTAGCGTAGCTTGTAGCCGTTCAATCAAAAAGAAAAGGAAGCCATTGTCCTCTTCGATTGGTGGCTACTAGCAATGTGTGGCTTGGATTGGCTCCTACCGACTGATCGATCCCCTTGAAAACCCTAACTCTATCTACGGTGACGTACCAGTCCAGGCAGGAGCAAGTGTGCTTCCACATTGCTCTGCTTAGAGTCATGGCGATAGTAGCTAGTGAAACATGGGACCGCGCACTAATAGTGCGCGGCGCGCACTATTAGTGCGCGCCGGGACTGACAATTTTGACGATTTGTTTTTATAAAAAAAGATAGATGCCATGGTCTGACCGGTGTCGAGACTGCGAGGTGCTTGCAAGACAGCTCATAGTCTTCCCAGGAAATGGCGTGGATTTTTATTAAATTTGAAACTTTGGTTTCAAGCAAAGTGAAATTTTAGTTTCACGCAACACGTTAGGCCGCTCTCTACCAGAGGGACTAAAGTAGCGACTAAGCCATATTTCATGGTTTAGTCGATAGTTTAGTCTCTTGGGGTGGTGTCTACCCAAGGGACTAAACGTCCAAAGGACTAAAGCCTTTAGTCACAAGGTTGGTTCACCGACTAACGGGAGGCTGGTTAGTCGGTGAGTGAGCGTAACGACTAAAGCCTCTTTAAGAACTCTTTAAGAACAGCACTTTAAAAAAGAACAGCACTTTAAAAAAAGAAAAGAGAGCCTCATTGCACAGCCTCAACAACAGAGCATGGCGACAGAGCTGATAGAGTAGAGGTGCGATCGAAGAGGAGTACGGTATCGGCCGATAGTACGGTATCGGCCGATAGTACGGTATCGGCCGATAGTACGGTATCGGCCGATAGTACGATCGAACGATCGAAGAGGAGTAGTAGAGGTGCAAACGATCGAAACGATTGAATGACAGTCTGTTGCTTAATAGTAAAGCCATCCCTCAATTGCAGAGTATGGAGTGCGGATGGCTTTTATTTCTCGGCCTTTGACTGTAAATAGTAGAGTGAACGTTCTTATAGATCGAAACATTATGGCCATAGTAGAGTGCTGACGATCGAACAATCGTAAGATGTTCCAATGTTGTTTTGAGGTCTTTTATCTCATCTTGTTATCTTAATAAAAGTAATCACTTCTTTTAATCTTGGGTTGTTTAGTCCTTTAAATCCAACATGCTGATATGAATATTGTATCCCCACCAAGTGATCATTTATCTTTTTTATTAATCGCACTATATTGTCGTGTAGTTTTTTAGATCCCAAGGTGATTCTTTATCATTGCTCTGTTGTTAGACTTCCAAATTAAAATACTACTAAATTAGTACGAGTTAGTCATCTGCTGGTAGTACACCACCATTACTAAAGGAATAGATGAACTAAAATCTACTAAACCAACCACTAAAGATTCCTTTAGTCGCTACTTATTCGCCTTGTGTAATAGCTCCTAGTTTCACGCTTGACTATTGTAAAATTGACACGCGTGAAACTAACTAGTTCTACGTCAGAGTGAAACTAATAGTTTCACGGTGAAACTTCTAGCTCGGGGATGGTGAAACTGGCAGTCCGTACACACCCCAATCTTTTGGAAACAAAGCACACTGATGCACAGATTTAATGATGGTATTATACCGGAAGAGGAGCAGAGTGCACAGAAGCATGCATTGTTTTACGAGAGCGAGTTGTGGATAGCTAATCAATCGATTCACTCTAAATGCACAGTAGTATGTAGTATTAGTTGTATTGGCTACCAGTTCTCTTTGCGTCAAGTGACGTAAAAGCGAAAAGGATTGTTCATTTTCATAGCGGATTTCAGAGTCTCGTTATTTTGTCTAGCATCCTTATTTGGGTTTCATATCCGCAAGAGATATACTGTGGCAGTGAATTTCATGTAGGGTTTTGAATTGGTCCCGGAGCTGCTTGGTGGGTAGGACTCGTCGCAATATTGCGGCCATCATGTTGAATACCAGGCCGGAATTGTAGAAACGACACTGTCCAATAAACGGATAGACGCCAATGAACTCATCAAATTGTTTCTGTATGATTCGAAAGTCTTGTTTCTTGGTCCAGCTCCATTGCTCGGCTTCTGCCATGACGACAATCCCCTTTCGAATGGAATCCATGTCGGGAAAGAACGCGTTGTGGAAGTAGTGGGTGCCCCCCATAAAGCCATTAATCTTGGCACTGGTGGTAAATTGTGTGGAATCGAGTTTGGTGGGATCGTTGACAAATACATAACAGCCGAGCGATGGGTTAAAGGAAAAGTCCAAAAACTGTCCCGGAGCCAAGTCAAACATTTGCTTCATTCGGACTGCGGCATCCTCTAAAGTATCTCGAACGTAATATTCCTGACGAAAGTGTTGGTGGACGGTAGCACGCGCCTTGACCGTTTCCAAATCGCCTGGTGGACACACAATCGCATATTGGGCGTACATAAAGTCCGTCAAATTATCCAGCTCGGCATCTGCTACCAGCGCCTCTTTGATATCGAGCGCCCAGTTCCATTCCGCCTCGGTCAGTCTCATGCGGCGAGGATCGTATTCGTCCAACACGAGGGTCAGCAAATCTTGGGCTTCCGCAGTGCCATCGTTATCATCGTTCACACTGCTGTCGTCGTCATCATCATCCTCAGAGCTGTGACTGCTGCCAGTAGAGTCTTCTTCGTCTCTTTCTATTTCCTCTTGTGGGACATGCTCAACCCCCCTTTCCACTGCTCTTTCTTCCCGTAGTACTTCTGGAGCTTGCAACATGGCGACAAGTAAGTATTATGCCAGTGTGCCTCCCGCGGCAGTCTTCGTGCCGGAGCCTTCAATTCGGTTTCCTGGTTATTCCTGCTTTCGCTTTGTGTTTCCCACGCAATTGGTAAGAGAGATCCAGAGCCTTATGCTGGACAGAAACCCTTTTAAGCCAGCGAAAGCTACCGCACCAGTACTGAGTACTGCAGTAGTGGTGCAGACTCCGGAGGGGCAGGCAGACTGTAATTCCTCCACACGTCCGAAAAGACTGTATCGAAGTGCGCTGTTGGACATGACGGGGGTCTACCGGTACTGTACCGGTACTAGCTAGCAAATGATACCCACGGATCAAGGAGGGGCTCCAAAGTCTCGATAATTCGCTGGTGGGACGAATGGGCTACTACATAGCCAGGGGTTCTAGCTAGCTAGACTTTAGGGTACGAAGTTAGCTACGGAAGCAGCCTATGTAGGAATCTTTCCAGTCGGGGAATTTTCGTGATTTTGTGAGGTTGTTTTTCCAGTACGATGGTGCCTTCTCGGAATTAAAAAGTCTAGTGTAGTATGGTAGCTAGCTAGTTCCTCGAAATATCGTGCGGATAACCAGCCGCTGTTGCAATGATGGGTGCGTTTTTTCTATTTTAGTGATTTTGTGAGGTTGTTTTCCAGTACAATGGTGCCTTCATTAGAATTAAAAAGTCTAGTGTAGTACGGTAGCTAGCTAGATTCCCAGTCGCTCCAGCGGTTGTGCTTCCTGTTGCTTCCCATTCATTCATATTGCAAAGGAGACGAGAGACTCGTCATCAGGATAGGATCTTTCGATTGTCCTACCCGATGAGCTGGGGCTTAACATTCGCGGCGGATATCGGAGCGAACAATCCTCATCATTCCCTCCCTTCTTTGCCGTGGGCGGCGTTTTCACCATTGCATGATGGCCGCGAATTCTCCGACCACGATGAAGATGCGTGTCTTTCGCCACAACATCGACTTTTTCATTACGAGTGGAATAGAGCCTTTCATTGACGTCAAATCCATTGGGTCGGTGATACAGTGGAACGCTTCCCAGCGAAGGCAGGGAATTCGAATGCACCTCTTCGTCCAGCCTGGGACGAATCTTTGCCCTGGAATCCGACGTGTCCAATTTTTTGATTCCAAAGGTATCAAACAAGGAGACACTCTTCGCAGCACTACCAGAGGACGACGCCAATCGAGCCTGGCGTTTCTGTTGCATTCCCCGTGAATGGTGGCTGCGACTGTCCGCATCATCATGGTCACCAATGAACGAGTCCACAGTACGATGATGTGCTTGGCAATGGCACCGGCTGACGACATGTCCACAGCGTCCACACGTGCTGACCCTGTACTCTCGTTCCATGGCATGACTGATCTCGTCGACAATGGAATCTCGAGAGTGGCCACTGCTGAGGCTGTGACGACGACGTACCCCACGCTTGGGAAACCCGTCCACCATCCTGTTGTGAGCTCCGTGTGGAATGGCATAATCCCTTTCGTCGGGGTATGGCGACCAAAACAAGCGGTCGCTGCAAGGGCGTTGTGACGGCATGTCTCTTCTCTGAGGAGGGCCAGGATAGCAGTATCCTCCAACGTGATCGGAAAAGGGAAACGGTTGTCTTGTCGATGGTCCAACACTTCCGCCGCCGCCGTGGCGTTCTATCATTCGGCGTTGCAGGTATCGAAAAAAGGCCATTTCGGCATCCTCCGTGTATCCTGCAAAAGGACCATGATCTTCCCAATGGTGCTCTTCCGGGTACCGGTTGGAGCGGTGGTGATCTTCGTAGGCGCCGCTCCTCTCCCTTCGAACGCTGCTGCCAACAGTACTGTCTCCTCGTTGGTAACTTTCCTCCCAACACGGAGCAGTGATGGACGACATTCTCTTCTTTTTTTCGTGCTCGGTTGCTGCTGCAGAGCGAAGGTGGCGATCCGACTTGTGGTGGTTACTACTCCTGCTGCTGCTGCCCATGCTATCGCGTCGGCGTCGTCGAGATGTCGACTGAACGTCATTCATGGATCGGGACTGCTTCTCCACAGAGGCATCGCCATCCACAATAGACCTACGTCGTCGTTGTTGTTGTTTGTTGTCATCAACTTCTTGGCATGCACCGGTAGCAGTAGAATGACGATCAGGACGTCGGTTGGCAACGTCTTCCCCGCGGCTCTTGTTGGTGGTGGTCTTTTCTTTTCTCCGTGTTGTCGTCGTGGCACTGCTGCTTTCGAGAGAAGATCTCTTCTTTCGGCTCTTGGTGGATTTACGGCTACCCCTGGACTTGCCATCGTCGTCGTCATTCTTGTCGTCGTTTTTGGTTGTGCTAGATTTCTTTTCCCCGTTCTTGCTACTAGCCGTGGTGGTTGCTTTCTTTTCCCGTCGCTTTCCCTTATTGTCATCTGTATGCTTTGCATTTGAAGGCTGTTGTTGTGGCTTGTCGTCATTATCATTGTTGTCGGCAAACGGCGGATTCTCAATCATTACGAGCGTCGTCATGGGACTATCTTCTGGAATGCCCGAATGTTTGGACGAAAAAGACGATGGCGGACTGCCTCGTAGCACCATGGGCGACGACGTCACTATGAAACTGAAATTGGTGGCGGTGGAATGTCTCGAGGTGGTGGATTCTTCATTCAACGTTTCGTGTACCGTATCGAGTGCCAGAGAGTCCAACATGGTGGCGGTGGACGACCGGTGTTGTTGTGAATCCTCCTGCTCGGTAGTAGTCGTTGCTGCTTGTTGTTGTTGTTGTTGTCGATGGTACAAGGCCGATGCCGGGGCATAGACGGGTTGGTCCAAACTCGAGTCCGCCACGACAGGTCGTTTACTAGACCGATTGCTGGCGGCAGTGGAACGAGACGAGGACAACATGGACGACGATGATGGAGCGGTGGTGGCGGTACTCGTCGAGCTGCCTTGTTCCATGAATCGCGATCGTTGCAGATCGGACAAACTGAGACTCATGTCCGAGACATCTTCCATGGGCTGCTGCTGTGCCGTTGTTGTAGTAGTTGCTGTGGTACTACTAGTACTGGCCGTGGTGTCGGTGCCTTGTGACTGGAATGCCTGGAGCGGTGGCAAGTCGGAATACGACTTGCCATTGGCTGGTGGTTGTTTCTTGTGGCTTTTCTTGGTTTTGGATTTTGTGGTGGTGGTGGTGCTGCTGCTACTTTGTTTGGTGGCGGTAGTGGTGGGTGGTTTGGGTGGTGGTGCTTCTTGTTGCTTTCGCTGATGTTTGCGGGGAAGTTTCTTCTTCCTCATTGTACTACTAGTACTACTGCTCGTCGTGCTTGTGTGGAGTTCTGCTTCTGTGGGTAGTAGCGGTTCCGCGGATGTTGTGGCTGGATAGAGTTGTAGTTGTACCGGTCGGACCATGGTTGTTGTTGTTGTTTCATGGGCATACTGTCCTTGTTCCAAGAATAGATCCAACGAATTTGAAAGAAAACTATCTTCTCCCATGGATTCCATGGCATGAAACTTTTTGGTTCCTGCCAATGGCTGTACTAGGTTTCGTAACTTTTGGATGCTGTTGCGTTTCTTCTTCTTGGGAATCATGGTGGATTGCGTGTCCCACGGGGAAGAGGTAGTAGTGGCGGATGTTTCCGAAGTGGCCGATGTCGCTTGTGATTCCGGTTGTGCCAGGAGCTGCTGCCGTCTTTGATGATCTTTGAGTTGCTCTTGGGCCAGCTCTCCCTTTTCTCGTGCATCCGGTGATGACGGTGACGAATGTTCCGAAGCGGCAGCACCTATATGTATGAGTTTTCGTATTCTGGAAAAACCCTTGGGGCTAGTATTGTTCTTGTCTTGTTTTGAATGATTCTTGGCTTGTTGTGGTTGCTGTGGAGGAGTCTTGCTACTAGCCTTGGCGGCGGCGGCTGCCAAGTCTACTCCTGGAAAGTCTGCCACGGGTGTGCTGACAAACGCTAAAAAGTCGACCACTTGTTGTGATTGTTGCGATTTGTGTTCCGAACTGGAGGACAGTGCAAAGTCTCCCAGAAAGGCACTGACATCGGCCGCCGGAAAGTTTTCATCTCCCAACAGCAGTGACATTTTGCGTCGTGACTGTTCCAATTGTTGCTCGTCCCAGGAACGCCGTTCCGTCGGCTCGTCGTCCTCGTCGTCGTCGTGGCCGGCAAAGTAGTACTGCTTGGGGTGTGTTGGCTGCGAGACGGTGCGTCGCGGTGGCGAATGAGAGCGTCCTCGTCGGTCGCGATTGTTGATGGAACGGGACGGGGCTCGCAGTGGCAGTTGGCGTTGTTTGCTATTGCTATTGCTATTGCTATTGCTATTGCTGTGATTGCTGGTGGCGGGAAAGCTCTGATGTCCAAACAGTTCAAAGTCGTCGGCGGTAAAGGCTCCACTGCCATCCGTCAGTGGTGGAAAGGCACTCGTCAAGGATCCAAAGTCGGGAAAGGAAGCTGAAAACTCCGTGTTGCTGCTGGGTGTGGTCGGGACATTCATTTGTGGGACTGATGATGGCGTTGTCACTGGAGTGCTCTGGGTTTTGCGAAGCGGTCGCCGTTGGGGACTTGTGCTTCGGGCGGCAGGACTGCGGCTTCGGCCTCGTCGATCTCGACTCCTATCATTATTATTGTCGACGACCATGGTCCAGTGAATGGATTGATTGATTGATTGATGAGCTATGTATCCGATGAGCTAACTAGTAGTAGAGTTAGTAGAACCAGCTAGCTAGCAGTGGTGGCGGAAGGCATTCATCCTAGACAAGCCTTTTACTGCAGTGGTACCATCAGCGCTGCTTGAGCTCTGCTTGCATACAGCTTCGGTTGCCGGTGCTCTTTGTTAGAGTGTGCGAGTGTTCCGTCTCTTGGGAGCTCTTGCGGAGGGTGCCTCAAAAACCTCAAAAAGTGTTTGATGGGTCAGTCACTGTAAAGTCTCAGTACAACGCAAGGATGAGCCAGTGGACGACTTCAAACTTCAAAGCACCAAAGAATGTCACGCAAAATATCACTCAACGCAATGTTAAATAGAACTACCCACCACTGATATAAGTCCAAGACGGTGCTTAGGATGCTCGTCTTCAATTCTCTGTTTAGTTGAGGAACTCTGCAGAATTAAATCACCTTTTTCACTTAACAGTCAAGATTCAGGTGCGATGCTGTAACCAGAAATTTACTGACGCGAATGAAGATCCAGCCATGAATGATCAAGAAAGAACAGCCCCCGTAAAAATGCCGGTATGAAACATACATGCGCCTGTTATAGTGCTCAACACACGGTGACTGAGCTTTGTCCTGCTTTATTTGAAGTGCCTCCCGTTCCCCATTCCCACATCCCAGAGCTGCCACCCAAAAAAACTGAACGGCAACCCAACAACACTATTAATAGTAGCTATTTTAAAATAGCTACCGTGGCACATATATATCTGATCCAGCAAGGAAAAAGGTGGGCCGGGACTCCGGATCCAGAGTTCCATTGGTATCTAATAGCTCGAGCTTACCTAACTGGCTCAAGCTGGATGGCTCAAGGTGGGTGCAGGATGGCTTTAATATCCGGTGCGGCATTTCCATCTCTTGGAGTCATAGTAGTGCGAATCTAGCTACACTAGTAGCAACAAAGAGTGACTAGAGTATCTGCTTCCGTAGCTCTAGCTAGATAGCACAGCTGAGGTAGACAGTTTGATATTGCTGGCCTCGACACGTCAGATTTGCGTCCATCTAGTAGCAGGAACACAGCTCCAGCCACCGATGTGGTTTCCAGCAGTAGACTCGACTCGGTGGGTAGGGAACCGAGGGTAGGGAACCGAGGGCAGGTGCCAACTCCACGATTCGATTCAATTCACTTTGGAGGACCAACACTAGCAACGTCCACAGTCAGGCCCCACTCATCGACCAACTTCATTACGTCCCCCCCTCGACCCACGATGGGACCCAGCGTATTATGTCCAGACGTTAGTACCCTTCTTATCCATTGCCATCACCCATCACCTGATCGTCCACGTAGCTAGTAGTACACTAGAGCACTAGCTGGTCCTTCACCAGGACACCAGGATCCAAACTTGGCCAAACAGCCAAGAGGCTGACAAATTCTTTTCTTGATCACTATAGTAGGCTTTGACAGCACCATGCGGCTAGTCTAGCTACTTCGGAAGAGCCAAGTTACAATGCATACAAACTGGTGTTTGCTGTTGCATTGCCTCCACTGCCTGTTGTTGTGTTTTGCCCTGCTTCCATTTCTTGCTCTTCTATGTCATTCTGTAGAGTTTCACCATTCCAGTGAAGACCACAGGAACACCAGTTGCAGCCGCAAAGATCGGCAGAACAGTCAAAGCTCAAACCCAGCCCCCTTTCCGGTTCAAACCGCTCCAAATTGCAGATCCCTCCTGCTACTGGCAGCACCCCAGAAAATTGATTGTCATGTATTGTCATTACTTGCAAAGATCCATTAGACGCCAAGATTCCAAGCTCTGTAGGGACACTCCCCGATAAAGAATTTGAGTGTAGAACCAAAGCTCCCATACTGGTAAGGGAGGAAAGCTCACTGGGGAGAGACCCTGCAAGCAGATTGTCCTGTAGCAACAAAGCTACCATGTTCAACAGCAATCCTATCTCACTGGGGATGCTTTGGCTCAATGAGTTGCTTTCTGCTCTGAAGCTCCTCAACTGAGAGAGTCTCCCAAGCTCTGTGGGAAGCCCACCACTGAAGGAATTCCCAACAATTTCCAGTGCTGTCAAAGAGTTCCCGAGCAATCCAATCTCAGTGGGGATGGTCCCATTCATGGATGTCCGTACAATTTGTAGCCTGGTCATGCTGGGAGAAGGGATGAAGTGTCAGGATGGCAGCTTCTCACGCATTGTGGTGAACCATGACACCTTCAGATTTGCTTACCTGGTCAAAAGGCCAATCTCTGATGGGAGAGTCCCAGCAAGCTGTATTCCAGAGAGACCAAGATCTTTCAATGCAGTGAGCAAGAACAGCTCGCTAGGAAAAGAGTCGAAGACGAGACTGTTGCCTGGAAGGTACAGATACTCCAAATTTGTCAACAGGCCAAGTTCAGTGGGAATTTTCCCAGTAAGTCTATTGGAGGACAGATCTAGCCTCTTCAGTGCGGTCAGCAGCCCAATCTGTGTTGGAATAGAATTCCTGAAGAAATTCTTATGCAGGTACAGCTCTTCCAAATGTGTCAGCCTTCCAACTTCGCTGGCAATACTTCCTGTGAACGCTGCCTGGTGCAGCGCCAACCGTTTCAGGTTGGTCAGCCCAAAAATCTCCATTGGAATCTCACCACTCAGTCCAGTTTCTCCAAGCTCCAACCTAGTCAGGTTCATGGTCCCAAGCTGTCTGGGTATTGTTCCAGTGAGTAACTCATTCTTCATCACATTCAGTGCAGAAAGACTCTTCATCTCAAATACTTCTGGTGGCAGCAAATCTGCCAGAGATGTATTGAGCTCATTAATGGCAAGAGCTAGGATCTTGAGATTGCTCAAGAGACTGATTTCTGGTGGGATAACTGGATTGTCATCGGAAAGGCCCAATCTGGCAAGAATGATGGCTTGGAATTCTCCATCCTCATTGCATGGATCTACGCCATATGCATCAAGTGTTCGATTTGCATATTGTTCATAGGATCCCTCTGTTTCCAGTTTCCCAAATTCACTGGAATACCAAAAACACTCGTCCTTCTCCTCATTTAGCCACCTTTCCTGGATCTCTTGAGGCCACGCTGTGTCACCCTCAAAGGCATAGTAGAATGCAGCCAAAGCGTAGAGTTGGGTCTGCCTTGCCACTGTCATGTTGGCAACTTTGGGATGGTTTTCTAACCAACTCTTGGCCCTGAATTGTGGAGAAGAGGAATCATTGTAGATTGTAAAGGTTGTATAGTTTGGCAAGTCCAGTAAGAGCTCATCGAGTACATCCGCAGGAGGTTTAGTGGCTGATGGCGCCACGGTGGGTGGACGTCTCACCGGAATCATAGGAGACGGAGCAATAATCTCTGGCTGCTTGTTGTTATTCGCTCCCAAGATCACAAGGACAAGGAGTATTGCCAATCCTACCACGATCGCTAGAAAGACGGATGTGATGATCATGAGAGCTCGACTAAACTTTTCCCATTGCTCCCGTTTGGCTTCTCGTTCCTCTTGCCGTTCAACGTCGTTGGTATCCAGCTCCTCTGCACGCATCAGCCCCATATGTTCCATTTCTTCCGTCACGAGTGACGCTTGAACGAGGCTGGAACTGGCCATTCTTGCCGTGACGGTACGCCGTTGCGAGGTCGGTCGGGTTGGTTCGTCATCCCTATAAAGAGGCGAAGTCTCGTCGTTTGGGTGGTCACCGCCAGTAAGGGGAAGAGGTCCAAAGGTAACAATAAGCCTCTTGGCTTCTTGCTCGGATTGGGACCGCCGTAGGCCATGCGAGTTTCGTAATCCGGTGCTACCGCGTGATCCCTGCGAGTGGCGAATCCCTCCCGAGAAATGTGATCCCTGCGAGTGGCGCATCCCTCCCGAGAAATGTGATCCCTGCGAGTGACGTCTCCCTCCCGAGAACTGTGATCCCTGCGAGTGGCGCATCCCTCCGGAGTAATGCGATCCTTGCGAGTGACGCATCCCTCCGGAGAAATGCGACGATGAGGAAAAGTCCAGATTGTGACTGGAAGGAGAATTTCGCCCACCCACAAAGCCTTGCTTTGCGCGAGCTTGGTCCAGAGTTCGATGGAGGTTGGCTCTATTGTGCTGTGGGGATTTTGGTGGATGCGGGGAAACCGCCACAACTCCTGGAGCGGATTGGTTGGAACTGGAATTGCTGGAAGCGGGTGAGGTGCGTCCCTTCGCTCTTATTTTGGCCTCTTTTCGCTGGAGGGACTTTCTGCGACCATGAGCATCAGGTGCCACTCGCATTGCACCTGGCTCTGAGCTTTGGCTCTTGCTGCTGCGTTCCATAGCCTTGATTTCCTCTTTATTTTCTAATGCGAAGCGAAGATTCAGATTCCTTCAACTCAAGATAAACTTATTACACCTCCTCCATACATCAATCTTACCTCTTTCACTTTGGTCCTCCCTGCTGTGGCTATCAGGGGGGTGATGCGATTGTTGTTGCAGGCTGGTCTCCCCATTATCTGAAGGTATCGAAGGTATCGAAGGCATCACAGGCGTCACCAACTGACCGGGTTCTCGGTTTTGTGAGTCCTTTCTTTCGGCCATGGCAGTTTCCACTGGCTCGCCCTTCGTGATATATTCGTGCTCCTGATGCCGTGGTCCTACGTTGATACTTGTCCTGACTGCATTGCCCGTCACTACGGTGTGATCCTCGTCCTCATCCTCTTCTTCCCCATCAAAACTGAAAGAAATCTCATGCTCTTCCTCTTTCTCACTGTTCTCAATGGACCGGAGCCCCCCTACAGTTTCAGCATATCCACCCCACCAATCCAAATCCTCGTCGTCGTACAAGTTGTCGTCGCTATAATCGTCGCCGTCCATGGTTGCCTTGCATGTTTTTGTGCTGTTGTTGCCACCATACGGCACTAATACGTTGCGTCGTCTTGGTCTGGAGGCGGGTCCTCTAATGCATCCACGTCTCATTTTTTGCAGCTGTGGTAAGTCTTTGACTCACCAGCATCATGTATTTACCGTGACTTCGTTAAAAGGGAAAACCGGTACCCAGCATGGTTGTTAACATGTAAGCCAATTTGGAAGTGGGTCAATCGGGTCAATGTCCAAGGAATTAAATTAAAAAAGGACACTAGCTAGTGGGGATGAATGGCTCTAATTAATATCTTCGTATGCAGCCTGTAAACTTTACAGCGACCTTATACTTCCAAGATAGGTGTTTTTATAACGAGGCTGGATGTTTCTGCCCTCACCCAACTCTAATGCCAGCCACAAGCCAACATCACAAAGGAAGCAAGCAGAAAGCAAGCATCTTCCTTTGCGCAAGAACCAGCACACTGTAGCCCTGCAAGCCATTGCTTGTGAAGGAACGAGTATTCTGCTGCATGGCTACTACAGTCAAATAAGATGAGGCCATCCACTTTGGCTTTCATCGGTCCAACTATTCCCAGCTAAGTCTTCATCTCCTGTTGGCCATCCTGATTGGGGCATGGCATCACCATCTACCTGTATCTTGTTGGAGACGGCGCAAAGAGCCCATCTTTCACTTTTGCAGGGTTGATATTACAACAGGTTCATTTCATGATGTCCATTGACGAGTGACCCTTATTTATAGTTGTCTACTACATAGCTAGGATGAAAAAACCTCCGCAGTCTCTACGAGGAGCAGCCTTGGAGAACTTTTTTGGTTTCGGGCCAACGGCTGGGTCTCCCCATGTCCGACGTTTGTTTGCGATGGTCTTTTTCTTTCCTCGCCGCACAAGCAAAGCTAGCGCGCCCTCTGATCCGTTCTGCAACCAGCAGCGCGTTTTGTCTCTCGAACCTGCTGATTTTTGGTTGTTGTCGATAATCGGTTGTGTGGCTGGCTAGCAAGATGGACACCATATCCGAGCCACAGCCACAACCTCAACCCATGACCGCCTAGCTAGTAGATGTATCCATCCAAATCGGATCGTCGCGGCAATATATAATCCAGCAATTCAAAATCGTCTTGATTGATTTCTTTCAAGTGCTCTCGATCTTGTGGAGTCGGCCCCGCACTTGCCAGTCTGGCTAGATGATTCTTGCGGGATGGATTCTTGTGTTCCATTCGCACCCCAGGGACATCCAACATGTACGATATCCATCGTTTGTAGCGTAGATCGTCCATTCGATTTTGTTGAATAATGAGATGAAAATCGTGTTCGAGAACGTGTTTGGCTTTGGTGACATTTCCCGGTACACCGCCGGAAAACCATTTGGTCAAACAGTTCGATGCACATCCCCATACAAACGTTCCTCGTTCATCGACGGCTTTTCTCCAGCCCTTTACTTTTTGCTTTTTGACCCAGTCCCGAAAACTATGTGGATTGCTGGCATTGACTTCTCCTTCAAACCAATAGGACGACTCGGCTCGCGCCAGGGGATCTCGGACCATGGTAATCATGAGTGTTTTGGGGCGCTTTTGATTTCCGCGGTAGCAGTACCCCTCATTGACCGAGTATTTCATCTTGTGGTGTTTGGCCACTTTCTCAAGGTATCGTCGGACCGTGGAACCGCCGGCTTTCCGCACATGGTACAAGTGAATGGCCGTGAATTGGGACATGTCAAAGGGTTCCATCGATGGCAATGGCAAGGAACTCATGTTGATACTGTAGTCATGTAGTGATGGTAGTTGTGATGGTAGTGAGCTGTCACTGCTGACGGCACTGGCAAATTTGGTCTGCACATTGGTGGCGTTGTTGTTGGATTCCATCACCAAGAGATGCTCTTCTTTGAAGAAGGAATAAGTTCCTATCAGAACCACACCCACCAGAGTCATGACCAGACGCGCAATACCTCGACCTCGCGCCAGTTCTCGAGTTGCCTCCAACGCTTCCAGGGCTTCGGCTGCTTCGGCCGCAGCAATTTCCTGCAATTTTTGTTGATATGCCAATCGTTCGGCAATGGCAGCAGCCCGCTCTTTCTCCGCTGCCGCCATGGCGTCGGACAGCTTGCGTTGTTCGTGAAGGCTCTGTTTCACCATTCTTTGCTTGCTTGCTGTTTTAGTAATTGTTCCTTGCTGCTTTACTAATCGTTGGTTCGTACAATATACAATCGCCACTGTGTATTTTGTGGCGGTGAGAGATCATCGGGCCATGCCATGGCTTGATGATGTGCTGGGCCAATGTCCAAAATCCGTTGGGAGAGTCACAATAGTCTTGG